CCCATGAAGCCCCTTCTACTTTAATAATTTGTGTAGAGTAACACTGAAAGGTTAGTATTTGATCTTCTGTCACAAAATTAACCGAGACATTTAGCTAACGTTTGGATATAATTTGACTAAAATTTGGAAAAAAAATTAAAGATGAGATGCAAAAAATAGTATTTGGAAGTCAAAATTATGCTTGAACATGTATTTTATTCAAAAAAAAGTTTTAAAATCTTTTTAGTAAAAAATTTCAAAGAATTGAAAACCAGTCTAAACAACGTCTTCATAAACTGCACAAAAATTAGTCACAACCAAACAATGTTTCCATATATATATATTTGGAAAATAGAAAGTCAAAGTATTTTCATATTCCAACAATTATTTTAAAGAATCATTCGATGTTCGAAGTTCATTTAACCAACAACAATAATAAATTCAGTGTATCCTCATAAAGTGGGGTCTGGGGAGGATATTGTTTAAGCAGACCTTTTCGCTATAACATCAAAATACAATCAAACCTCTCTATAACAGCCTCTTTTGTTCCAAATATTTTTGTATATTATAGCGAAGTGCTGTTATAGAGATCATATATTATAACACAACATGAAAATTAGTTTCGAAAAAGCTTAGGTTTTATAGTGAAGTGTTGTTATATAGGGATGATATTATAGAGAGATCTACGGTATAATTTATACATAGACTTGTTTCTTTAATTCTAACGAACATTCTCAATAAGTAACTAAAATAACTTATGAAAAGGCTAAGATATTTTAAAATAGTTTTTTACTTATAAAATAAGAAACAAATAAAAAATATCTGTCGACATGAATATGTCCCACTCTACAGCTCGTGTTAGTTTTATTATTATTACACATACGACCAGTTTCAATCCACCACGTGCAATTTGGTCCCCTCTTTTTTATCTATATATACAACTCACACCCACAACTACTCTACGGTCAAAGCAACTAAAACAAACAAAGCCATATACAGCAGTTCCAAAGAAGCAGAGAAGCAGAAATTTAAGAGAAAAAGGAAAAAGAAATCGAAGAAAAGGAAAGTAGAAGAGTGAAATTTTGAAGGAAATGATCAAAGGCGTACACAGAAATCAGCAGCAATTGGAATTACCAGCGGGATTTAGATTCCATCCAACGGATGAGGAATTAGTTCAACATTATCTCTGCCGTAAATGCGCTGGGCAGCCTATTTCTGTTTCAATTATAGCTGAAATTGATCTTTACAAGTTTGATCCTTGGCAATTACCTGGTAATTTTGTCCTCTCATTTCTCTTCTTCTTTCATATTCTAGGTATACAAAGAACAGATTAATTGACTTATTTTAGGTTTTAACTATAATTTTTAGAGCTTATAACAGGGTTGAATTTTTCAATCTTCCGATTTGGGTTTTGGGTTAGTAGGATGATTATATACTAGTAAGTTGAGTGACCTTCTGTAAGAATTTCTAGTGGTTGTTATTTGTGAATAAAATGGTTTTCTTTCAAAATTTGTTCTGGAATTTTAATTATTTTAAAGGAAAATTCAGTTTTTTTACCGAATTATATTATTAATAATAATTTTTTTGACTGTCAATGGAGTTCTTTATCCAAATAGCCGGTACATTCCCTATTTACTTTTTGGAGCTGGTATACATTAATTTATTTAGATTATATACATATTATACATAGATTATATAATATATTATACAGTTAGACATATCTGTAACAACATTCTTATATTATTCATTCACTATAAAAGTCAGCCTTTTTTCGGAACCATTTTTATATTATGTTATAATATATGTCCTTTATAACAGCACTTCACTATAAAAACTGGAGTAATAAATATCGTAACGAATAAGACTGTTATAAAGATGCTTGACTGTACATCTGTCAGCTATTTTAAATTTTAGCAGCTGCATTCTTCTATCCTAAATAATTTGTATTTGATAAATGCAGAGAAGGCTTTGCACGGCGAAAAGGAATGGTATTTTTTCTCACCAAGAGATAGAAAATATCCGAACGGCTCACGGCCGAACAGAGCGGCCGGAACCGGTTACTGGAAGGCAACCGGAGCTGATAAGCCAGTGGGAAAGCCCAAGACTTTAGGGATAAAGAAGGCGTTAGTGTTTTATGCTGGAAAAGCACCTAGAGGAATCAAAACCAATTGGATAATGCACGAATATCGACTCGCTAATGTGGACCGGTCTGCGGGCAAGAGCAATAGCTTGAGAGTAAGCGCTTTCAGATTCAGGATTTAAACTTTATAGGTTCGAATCTAAAATTTTAGTATTATAGTCGAAATTTTGTTATTTGTACTTATTTAGTGAACCTTTTGCAGCTTGATGATTGGGTATTGTGTCGAATATACAACAAGAAGGGCACACTTGAGATGCATTACAATGTGGATAACAAGGAGCATTTGGGCTTCGAGGAAGTTGAGGAAGAAGAGGAAAAACCAAAAATTTTACCATTTTCACAAAGTAATGAGTTGATAGCACCATTAGCACCAGCGCCGATGCCACCGCGGCCACAATCGATGCCTACAAGAGACTACTTTCACTTCGAAACGTCTGAGTCAATGACTAGAATGCATACAACAAACTCGAGCTCTGGCTCAGAGCCGTCATGTGATAAGGAGGTCCAAAGTGCTCCCAAATGGGACGACCTCGACAATGCCCTTGATTTCCAGCTAAATTATTTGGATAGCTTCCAATATGACCCTTTCGAGCAAAATTGCAACATTGATCAGTTCAATTCTTTTCAAGACATGTTCGTATACATGCAGAAACCTTATTAGTTATTAATCTGGAGCGAATCAAAATTAGTCAAGCCACTGAATTCTGAATTCCAAATACCCCTACTAATTGTATAATCATTGGATTTAACTGATTGTGATCCAAGGCTTTATTCTTTGGTGTAGGTCACTTTTTTTTTGTGGGGGGGGGGGGGGGGGGTAGGGGATGGTGAAATATGGAAAATGCAAGTCAAATTTGGTGGGCTATAGCTCAAGTGAGCCTTGACAAGCATAGTCAGAGGACTATGTTGAAGGCTTATGGTAGGTACATGTAAAATAAATGAAAATTTGTCAATATCAAGTTATGATTCTTCGAATCCAGTAATGACGATTTCTGCACAAGTTTATCTCAGATCATTAAGGGGTGTATGATTAAAAAACTAATTATATAGGAATATAACACATGTATTGTTATAAAGTGAACAATCAAAACATGAAATTTTATGTATGAGTTGCAATACCAAACACATGAATTTTTTTATGCATGTATTCACATACAAAAAATTAAGTGCATTCTAATCCTCGTACTTCAAATACTTTCAATTCACATAAATTGAATAAACATTTAAAAGTTGTGATGGATAAACTTTTATCCTTAATTCAAGCTGAGAATAAAAAATATTAATAGACGGATCCAAATTAATTGAGACCAGAGAGCAGTACTGGAACTGAACGAAAACATTAAAAAAAAGCATAAATTGGAATAGAGAGAGTTCTCATGTTGAATGGCCAAAATAATATGTAACCCAAAATAATATGCAAGTTTCGACCCATTCTACACATATATTTATTTTTCTTAATTAAATTCTTTTCGTCCCAATTTATGTGGCAGTGTTTTATTTCGAGAGTCAAACAAGTATTTTTTTACTATTACAAAATTTTTCTAATATGTAAATCCTACTTGGAAAAAACTTTTAAATTCTATGTTCAAATATATGATCAAAGTTAAAAAGTTTGACTTTAAAACCAAAAAAATGTCATATAAATCGGGATAGATTTAGTAATAAAATAATGCACATAGGCAATTGGTTCCTATTTTCCCGAGGATACGTTGTAATCTATCTCGGATTCTATATTCTCCCGAATATCTCGTAACATCATTTTGTTCTTTTTCTTTGATCAGAAGCAGTAAAACTGATTTTCGATTGGAAGAAATAATCGCTTAGATCAGAATTGAGCTATGGACTCTGCTGATTGGCGCACTCAACTTCTACCCGATTCTCGTCAAAGGATTATCAACAACATGTAATTTCCCTTTTCCTTTTTTTCCTTGTTTTTCTTTTATCAATGATTTTCGATTCCAACTTATAGTGTTCCTTTGTGTTTATCTGTTCCTGAAAATGATCGTTTAGGCAGAAGTTTTGACAAGTCAATTCGGGGACTTGTTTATGTTCTGCTTTCCATTTTGTGAAAACTCACTTGTCCAGATGAATTGGAAGTGTATGCCTTAGAATTTTCCAGTATTCGTAATCACTCAATGCCGCTGCTTCTTTCTTTAGCCGAGGGTCTAACTGAAATAGCCTCTCCGCCTTCCCAGGATAGGGGTGAGGTTTGTTGTTGTTGTTGTTGTTGGTAATCACTCAAGGAATTAGTTCAAGTGAAAAACCTACTTTTTTTTATGACTGGTGTACGGGCCAGCTTAGACTATTAAGTTGGATAGCTGCTACCTCCCAGTGGCACAAGTACCAAGGGTCCAAGGCTTACGGAGATGAGAATCAATGACCCAGTGTTTTTTACCTTCCGCTGGGATTTGAACCTGAAACCCCATGGTTCTCCTTCTTCTTCGTTGACCACTAAGTCACACCCTTGAGTTAACTCTGTAGTGGCTTATATTTTGTTTTAGATATGTCAAAAATTCCTTATCTAAAAAGATATGTCAAACTTGACAGGTTGCATCAATTTATTAATTGGATAATAACTGAGTAGAGGCAGATTCATGATTTGAACTCTATGGGTTCGGAATTCTAGGACAAACTGCTACTTCAAGTGCTAAAAACTCGGTTGGAAATTTAATATTTGTTCAAATTTTGATTTCTTAGCACATATGTAGTTTGTGTCAAACCTACTGAGTTCGATCGAATCCATATATTACACTCTACATCTGGCCCTGTTAAACAGATATTGTTAAGGGAAAACAGGTTTTTGGCTTTCGAAGCAGGGTGTAATCTCAATTATATCTTATCTTGAATAGGCATTTATATAGATTATGCTCTTATGAACCCGTTCAGCTGAATTCTTGCTGATATGGCTGTGTAGAACCGAGACCTTAAAGAGGCACCTTTCTGTCACTAGGGAAGAAGGAGTTCAGGAGCTCAAGAAAATTGCAGTGGGGTTTGAGGAAAAGATCTATACTGCTGCCACAAGTCAAGTATGCAGTCTAAACTTGCTTCTATTTGTTTGAATAATGAAATTGTTTTCCACCTGGTTGATATTGTTCTTGCTTGTATTAATGTGCATTTACATTTCAAGTCATTTTGACATGTTGTATTCATTTTTGAATTTTAGCTCTAATTTATCTACTGTTGCAGCCAGATTATCTACGAAAAATATCTCTAAAGATGCTGACTATGGAGACAAAATCTCAAAATCCTATGACCAATTCGAGCAATGCTGCAAGTAGTGGTCAGAATGGCCATGACCCAGGTGAGGAATGAAAGTTCCTGTGCTGTATTTCGCATTAACAAATCATTTGTCCGACAGGATTACTTAGTTATGATGTTGGAAAAGCCTGCTCTCTATGACTACAAAGTGTAGAGGAAAGTGTTCAGTCTCCCCTCTCTCGTCAATGTTCCTTTCTCACCACTGAAAATTCTCAGTTGCCGTCCGCCTTCTGTACCTACCTTGATATTACAAGCCCCACCCTTTTTATCCCATCATTGACATCACCTTTGAAAAATCATCTTTTTTTCTGATCGTTTTTATGCTCTAAGGGGAAGAAAAACTTTTATCTGCTTAAAGAAGTGTCAGCTTTAGCTGACTAACAAAGAGGCTTTTGAAATGAAATGCATATTTTGGGAGTGAAGGTACCGCCCCAGCTGGAGCTGCAGCCGGAGCTATGGACGCCCCTGATTGGCGGACTCAACTTCTACCTGATTCTCGTCAAAGCATTGTGAACAAGATGTAATTTTCTTTTTCTTTTCTTGTAACTTGTACTTTCTTTTCCTTTTTCAAGGATTTTGGATTTCGACTTTAGGTATCCTTTGTGTTTATCAGCTTCTGAGAATAACCATTTAGGCAGAAGTTTGACAAGTCTAATGGATACCTGTTTTTCGGCTTTCCTTTAATGAAAACACACTTCTCTAAGCGAATTGAGTAATCCTATTATTGGGTGGATTAATTGGAAGTTGATGCCCTACATATTTCCAATTCTGGTAATCACTCAAGGAACTAGTCCGAGTGGAAAACCTACTTTAACTCTCTGTGGCTTACATATGTCGAAATGACAAGTAGCAGCGCAAGTTAATTGGATAATAACTAATATTGTCACGAGAAAACAAGTCTTAGGCTTTCACGCAGGGCGTAATGTCAAAAAATTCATCGTTAAAAAACGTCTTATCTGGATTGTGCTCTTATCAACCCGTTAAGCTGAAGTTTTCCTGATATGACTGTATAGAACCGAGGCCTTAAAGAGGCATCTTCCTGTCACTAGACAAGAAGGAGTTCAGGAGCTTATGAAAATTGCAGTGGGGTTTGAGGAAAAGATCTATACTGCTGCTACAAGTCAGGTATGCAGCCTAAACTTGTTTCTCTTTGTTTGAATAATGCAATTTTTTCCCACCTGGTTGACGTTATTCCTGCTTGTATTAATGTGCATTTACGTTTCAAGTCATTTTGACAAGTTGTGTACATTTTTTATTTTAACTCAAATTTATCTAATATTACAGCCAGATTATCTACGAATGATATCTCTAAAGATGCTGAATCTTGAGACAATATCTCAAAATCCTACAACCAATTCGACCAATGCTGCTAGTAGTGGTCAGAATGCCGATGACCCAGGTGAGCAATGAAAGTTCGTGTGCTGTATTTCACATTAACAAATCTTTTATCTGACAGGATGCTTTATATAAACATAATTACTTAGTTATGCTGTTGGAAAAGCTTTTCTCTATGGCTACAAAGTGTACAGGAAATTTTAGATGCTTGAACCAATGTACCTATAACATTTTAGGTGACTACTTAGTAAGTATTGGTGTCTGCCCTAGCGTCAGAGTCCTGGTCACTTAAAGTGCTGTTTATCTACTTTCCGACCATCCTTTTTCTTTAAGCTATCCAGAAAAAGAGGAACAAAAGAAAAACAGATTATTTACAGTACTACATACTATTGTTTATTTGTCTCTCATTTTGTATAATCGGTTTTTGCAAAGCAATGGTTTCTGTCTCTAATATCTCTTAGTAGTTATTATTAATTTGTGCTCTAGGTCAGAGTCCTAGCCCCTTAAAGTGCTGTATACTTTCTGGCTATCCTTTTTCTTTTCATTAGCCATAAAAAGAAATCCTCTATTTCATTTTCTTTTTATTTTACTGAGAATATCTTAGCTGGCAGCCTTAAAACCTTGTTAAGTGAATCGGGGGTTAGATTAGAATTAATAAAGATTTGGAGGTTACATTACAAGTCCCGTCCTCTGCATCCCATCATTGACATCACCTTTGAAACATCATCTAAGGTTTATTTTCTTCTGATTGTATTTATGCTCTGAGGGGAAGAAAAATCTTTTATCTGCTTAAAAGAAGTGTCAGATTTAGTTGTCTAACGAAGAGGTTTTTGAAATGAAATGCATATTTTGGGGAGTGAAGGTACCGCCCCAGCTGGAGCTGCAGCCGGAGCTATGGACGCCGTTGACTGGCGGACTCAACTTCTACCTGATTCTCGTCAATGGATTGTCAACAAGATGTAATTTTCTTTTCCTTTTCTTGCAACTTGTACTTATTTTTCTTTTGTCAAGGATTTTGGATTTCGACTTGAGGGTTCCTTTGTGTTTATCAGCTTTTGAGAATAACCATTTAGGCAGAAGCTTGACAAGTCTCATGGATACCTGTTTTTCGGCTTTCCTTTAATGAAAACACACTTCTCTAAGCAAATTGAGTAATCCTATTATTGGGTGGATTAATTGGAAGTTGATGCCCTACATATTTCCAATTCTGGTAATCACTCAAGGAACTAGTCCGAGTGGAAAACCTACTTTAACTCTCTGTGGCTTACATATGTCGAAATGACAAGTAGCAGCGCAAGTTAATTGGATAATAACTAATATTGTCACGAGAAAACAAGTCTTAGGCTTTCACCGCAGGGCGTAATGTCAAAAAATTCATCGTTAAAAAACTTCTTATCTGGATTGTGCTCTTATCAACCCGTTAAGCTGAAGTTTTCCTGATATGACTGTATAGAACCGAGGCCTTAAAGAGGCATCTTCCTGTCACTAGACAAGAAGGAGTTCAGGAGCTTATGAAAATTGCAGTGGGGTTTGAGGAAAAGATCTATACTGCTGCTACAAGTCAGGTATGCAGCCTAAACTTGTTTCTCTTTGTTTGAATAATGCAATTTTTTTCCACCTGGTTGACGTTATTCCTGCTTGTATTAATGTGCATTTACGTTTCAAGTCATTTGACATGCTGTATGCATTTTTGAATTTAACTCTAATTTATCTAATGTTGCAGCCAGATTATCTACGAAAAATATCTCTAAAGATGCTGACTATGGAGACAAACTCTCAAAATCCTATGACCAATTCGGCCAATGCTGCAAGTAGTGGTCAGAATGCCCATGACCCAGGTGGGCAATGAAAGTTCATGTGCTGTATTTCACATTAACAAATCATTTGTGTGACAGGACGCGTTGTATAGACCTAATGACTTAGTTATGATGTTGGAAAAGCTTGCTCTCTATGGCTACAAAATGTACAGGAAAGTGTTCACTCTCCCCTCTGTTCCTTTCTCACCACTGAAAATTCTCAGTTGCCCTCTGACTTCCATACCTACCTTGACATTACAAGCCCCGCCCTCTGCCTCTCATCATTGACATCACCTTTGAACATCATCTTAGGCTTTTTTTCTTCTGATTGTTTTATGTTCTGAGGGGAGAAAAACTTTTATCTGCTTAAAGAAGTGTCAGATTTAGTTGTCTAACGAAGAAGCTTTTGAAATGAAATGCATATTTTGGGGAGTGAAGGTACCTCCCCAGCTGGAGCTGCAGCCGGAGCTATGGACGCCGTTGATTGCCGGACTCAACTTCTACCTGATTCTCGTCAAAGGATTGTCAACAAGATGTAATTTTCTTTCTTGCAGCTTGTTCTTTTTTTTTTTTTTTTTTTTTTTTTTTTTTTTGCGTCAAGGATTTTGGATTTCATCTTTAGGTTTCCTTTGTGTTTATCAGCTTGTGAGAATAACCATTTAGGCAGAAGTTTGACAAGTCTAATGGATACCTGTTTTTTGGCTTTCCTTTAATGAAAACACACTTCTCTAAGCGAATTGAGCTATCCTATTATTGGGTGGGTTAATTGGAAGTTGATGCCCTAGATATTTCCAGTTCTGGTAATCACTCAACGAACTAGTCCGAGTGGAAACCTACTTTAACTCTCTGTGGCTTACATTTTGTTATAGATATGTCGAAATGACAGGTAGCAGCGCGAGTTAGCTGGATAATAACACTGACTAATATTGTCACGAGAAAACAGGTCTTAGGCTTTTCACCGCAGGGCGTAATGTCAAAACATTTTCATCATTAATAAATGTTTTATCTAGATTCTGCTCTTACCAACCCGTTAAGCTGATTTTTTGTTGATATGACTGTATAGAACCGAGACCTTAAAGAGGCATCTTCCTGTCAGTGGAGAAGGAGGAGTTCAGGAGCTCAAGAAAATTGCAGTGAGGTTTGAGGAAAAGATCTATACTGCTGCTATAAGTCAGGTATGCAGTATAAACCTGCTTCTATTTGTTTGAATAATGCAATTGTTTTCCACCTGGTTGACATTATTCCTGTTTGTATTAATGTGCATTTACGTTTCAAGTCATTTTAACATGTTGTATGCATTTCTGAATTTGACTCAAATTTATCTTATATTGCAGCCAGATTATCTACGAAAAATATCTCTAAAGATGCTTGACTATGGAGAACATCCTATGACCAATTCGACCAATGCTGCAAGTAGTGGTCAGAATGCCCTTGGCCCAGGTGACTAATGACAGTTCATGTTCTATGTTTCACATTAGCAAGACGCTTTCTATAACCTAGTTACTTAGTTCTGCTGTTGAAAAAACATGCTCTCTGCATCTACATAGTGTACAGGAAATTTAGATGCTTGAACCAATGTACTAGTCGTTTGCCAACGGGAATCCTAATTTGGGGAAGAGACAATGATATGTTAATGCAAATGAGATATATGTCCAAATAAGCAGCCAAGTCAGCAGAAAATATAATTTTAAGCCTTTTTCATCCCAGTTGGAGTTCCGTTAATGAGGAGGGTAATTTTGCATTTCTTGGCTAACGGCAAGGGAAAGATTGGTCCTAAATTGAAACAGAGGGTAAAATTGCACAATATCGAATAGTTCAGGGGCAAATTTAACCCTTTCCCGTTCTATTAATGTTTGAGCAAATAACATGCCCCTTATCTATAATATTTTAGGTGACTACTCTTAGTAAGTACTGATTTGTGCTCTAGGTCAGAGTCCTAGCCCCTTAAAGTGTTGCTTATCTACTTTCTGACCATCTTTTTTTATTTGTATTAGAAATCCCAAATGAAAAAAGAACAAAAGAAAAGCAGATCATTTAAGACTCTATATACTGTTGTCTGTTTGTCTAATAATAAAAACTTAGTCAAAGTTCTCATTTGGGAATAAGTTTTCACAATGCAATGGTTTATGATTCTCGTATCTTTTAGTACTATAATTGGATGCCCGTGGTAACAGTTTGATGTAGAATGTAAATATTATTCATTTACACAGTATGCTAACTTTACCAGACAATACTATTTGAGTATCTACCAAATAGTGAATGTCAGAGTATGTTTATATAGAATAGTTTTCCATCTTATCAATGACCCTTGTGATATGTCTATAGAAGAGTAAAGTGCTCCAAAAACTTTCTAAGCGAAGCAAGCATTTGATAAATTAGTTTTCACGAATACCTTAATATGGTTAACCAACTCATAACATCAAATTCCAAATAAATTTGAATACAAGGAAAACAACCTTCAAATAGATTAAGGGAAGCTTTAGAAACTCCCTTATAAAAGGAAAACAAAGGAAACAAGAACCAAAGTTTGAAAGGCAAAAAATATTAATCAGTTCTAATTTGTCTGAGGACAATAAAGCAAGTAAGATAAGTCAAACCATCCATAACTGTTGAAGATCACCATCTATCCTGAATCTTGTCCTGCAAGTTGACACATATGAAGTATAAAACATTCTGCAATCTTAAGTATGAAAACTGAGCTTCAAACTATGGAAACACATCCAATCACTTCCCAAATAACATTTCTGCAGGAAAGAATGAGTAGAGTACAAAGCAACTCCTATTGTGTACCTAAGTCTTTTGTTATCTCACTGGGACTTCATATAACTTGTATCTTGATGCTATGATCAGCCGTATGAAGTTCAAATTTTTAAAAAGGATTAGAATATAGATAGGATCTTTTCATAGATAATTAGGGATAATCCATCAATAGCTTCGATTACTAATTCATACAGAAAAGGACAAGAATCAATAGTTATCCTATGGATTCGTGTTTTTTATTCCAAGAACGCAAGGGCATGTTGCTTGAATAAGTTACTGCAGCATTCTCTTTTGCTTCCTCAATAGGTGTAAGCTTTGAAATGGACCAAATTCAGGATTTTAATCCTAAATTGGATTATCTCGGGAATGTCCTTGATTTCGAGCTAAATTATACAATGGACGGTTTCCAGGATGACCCTTTTGGACTCCAAATGCAGCAGCAAAACTTCAAGACAAGATTGACCAATCTAATCCTTTCCAAAGCATGTTCGTATACATGCAGAAATCCTACCAAAATTGTGTAGATCATTGGATCTAATTAATTATGATCCTTGACTTCTTGTTCGTTCTTTGGTGTATGTCAACTTTTTAGGTCATGGGGGTAGAGGGCGAGAAGTAAAGTGGAGGATGGTTAGAAAAATAGAAAAGTCAAGTCAAATATGGTGGGCTATAGCTCAAATTAGCCTTGACAAGCATAGCGAGAGGACTATATAGAAGGCTGGTGATAGAAAATTTATTAATCTCAAGTTATCATTCTCCAAATCACATTGATTACAACTATTTGGCACAAGTTTAAAAGGAAAGTAATCAAAATTAGCGGATATATTTTAGACACTAGTCTTTGAGTACGCACGTTGTAGGATACATGTACAAAAAATCTAAAAAATCACTTAAATATTAAAGAAAATAAAATAAAATTAAAAGGAGGTGTAAGTTTCTGTAAATGATTAAGGTTTATCCTGTTTAGTTAAATGGATAACAATCTCTTGTGTCTCTCTAGTACAAGTATTTGCTTGTCATGAAGTTATATTTGTTGCTTAACTGATATAGCGAATTGTATGCTTCAGTTTGAATGAAGCAATTAGTAGAACGTTGCGCCCATAAATTTCTAAGTGATTTTTCGGCATGTGGGTGCTTATTGGTTTTGGCTTACTGCATTTTTGGAAGGAACTATAATTATATTACATAGTTTAAATAGGGCAAAATCTCAAATTGATTTTAAAACCCGAAATATTAGGGTTTCCTAGTTCAAATAAAGAAAGATTTAATAAGCAAGATATTAGTTGATTTCAAATTTCTAAATATTAGGAGAATAATTCTTCATAAAAATATTAGGAAAATAATTAAATGACAATTTAGTCCAATTTGAAATATATTTTTAAAAGGTAAAAGAGTCGATCAACATTTCGTGTTGGTGCTTCGTGTTTTTTCTTTCTAATAGTTAAAATATAGATTTTTTGATTGTTTATAATAGTTTAGACATAGATTCTTGCCAGGAAAGGGAAATTACTCGAGGAAGCACGAAGAGAAAGAGAGAAGACTCGGGAGATAATGTTGAAGAGCATAATGATCAAATACTACCAACATTTACATGTGAAATATGCACTGAAGTTGTTCCAATAACCAAGAAATTCAACAATTTTCATAGTTGCAATCATTCTTTTTGCTCAAAATGCATAGAGAGGCACGTCGAAGTGAAAATCCAACTAAGGATTGCTGATATACAGTGCCCGTATGTAGATTGTGGGAAACTTTTGGACCCTCTAGTATGTAGAACGATGATTCCCTTATCGATTTTCGAGAAGTGGTGTGACCTTCTCTGCAAGCAGGCTCATTTAGGATTCGAGAAATGTTACTGTCCTTATCAAGATTGTGGAGAACTCATTGTTAAAGAGTGTGGGGATGTTGTTGGAAAATCGGAGTGTCCTAAGTGCAGAAGATTGATTTGCTTTCAGTGTGGGCTTCCATGGAATGTCTGTGAAGAAAATGGATGTTCAAAGGTGAATGATACTTTGTTCAAAGAACTTGTGGAGCAAAAGCAATGGACTAAATGTCCTAGCTGTAATATGTATGTCGAACGAATTGCAGGCTGCAATCATATGCAATGCAGGTTCTCTTTTTCTCTCTCTCTCGTTACATATGGGTTTAACTTATACACTGATATAAAGATTTTTTGCAGTATCGATGAATTTTAACCTGTTGTAACAGGATATCTTCCTTATTTTTCGAATTATTAATCTCACTTATTATGGGCAGTCACTTATATTATCTTTTAGATACTCTGACAGTAGAAAAAACTCTTACACATCCGTTAAAAATTAAATTCAAGCACATAATTGGTTTTAGTATGGTTGGCATGATGGTGAAATTACTCTATTATACACACATGTTTACCTACATATGACCACGATCAATGTTCCTTTTAGAAACAACTACTAAGGGAGAAGACACTTTTCACATCCCTTCTCAGTTAGCTATCTAACATCTCAGCCACCTAGTTATATGTCCATATTAAATTGTATGCCCTGTAATGAGTCTTGTTCTTCCACTGTTTCGTGGAAATTCAGCGACCTCTTGTCGATGAAAAGTTGAGGCTGGCAGTTTAAGCTGTTGCCCGCAACCCCCCATCCAAACCCAATTTTTTTTACTTATATACATTGACAATGTAAATAATGTAATTTAGCGTCTTGTAATAGGTTTTACGTCTTATTTTTCAAGTTATTAATTGTAGTTATTATGAACAACTACGTGCAATTATCTTTTAGGTGGTCTCATAGCGGGATAATCTTTTTTACTGTCAATGTACAAAAGTTAAACCAAGGAAAAAGGTCCCATATGCCTGTATGTTTTCAATTTCTTCCTTTAGTTATTCTCCTACATCAATTAAAAATCATTACATGGATTATTGAAACTATATATTTACTGGATGAAACAACTTGAATCCTCATTATGCTTTTAAGGTTTAAGATGTGCAAATGAGTAACTCTCAGTAAATTTCTTTTTGCAGATGCAATTTCAGTTTCTGCTACAAATGCGGGAAAAACCCTACTGCTCAGAGGCGCTGGTGCAGGTGCAAATAAGATTGAAGATCCTCATTTTGCACATGTTAGGTTCACCTTTTTTCATGATAAAAGGTTGTATATTTAATAAAATAACTATAAATGGTTTGATTTATATACACTGACGTTGTTAAAAATAATTGCACTATCAATATGTTGCCTGCTACTTATCTGCTTTATATGTTCCATGTTACGGATCCACAAATCATAGATATATATATATATACATATAATTATCATGTAAATGACTAGGTAGTTTTATTTTTTTTTTTTTTTTTTTTT